GTTTCCTTTGTCTTAAGGCCGATTATCGGGTTATTTTTACATAAATAATTTGCTATAAATCATATGTTTTTCATATCTATGTCCAACTTGGTGAAATTCACTCTCCATATTTCATTTTTTTTACGAGTGCAAGGTCGGTTCATTGTTACGTGTCGATTTTTATCTTACTGATTATAGAAGAGTTAACCAAGATCATATCGGTCATAAACCTTCTTTCGAATTCCAATGAGAAGGCCACAGTAGACACAATTAGCAGCCACTTGTCGAGCGAGGCACCTAGTGCCGATCGATTAGTGCAAATCTTAAATGAGGCTGTTTCTCGAGGCTCCATTGTCAAAAACTCCGAGGATGGGTCTTACCAACCCACCCGCAGCTTACGTCCACACCGGCGCTCCTTCCTCATCTCCCAGCCCCCTTCTATTCTGTATGATGCCAACACGCCGAGGCGACGCACGGTATCCATTCAGCGAGCGCCAAAAATGCCCAATGATGCATCTGTATGTACTTTTAAGCATTCTTACTTGAGTGACCGGCGCTGTGATATTTGCTTCTCATCTCTTCAGGCATCTACGCGCGGTATGTCGCATATTATTCCCATTTGTGGTTTCTGTTCTGGGGATGAGAATAACAACCCCAGGAGAGGTGGACCAGAGGAGATGCTAGCTTGTTGGGGCTGCGGTAGGTCAGGTGAGCACTTTTTGTTGGTGTATACGAAAGCACTTGTTTGTTAAACTATGTCTCATATGAATTTTCTTGCAGCTCACCTAAGTTGTCTAGGACTTTCACCATCGATGCTGCCCCGAGTGAAACGGCTACGCTGGTATTGTGTCGATTGTAAACGCTGTACTATTTGCCATTACTCGAGGTCCAGTTCCTTGGGAGGAGAAAGAACACCAGTAGCAATTAGTGGTGGTGCTACTGATAAGGACAGTGATCTCTTACTCTGCGATAATTGCGATCGTGGATATCACCTTTCCTGTGTGGCTCCAGGTCTCACGGAACCTCCTGACGGTGAGTTCTGTTCGCGTCTCGTTTTGTTTCATAAAGTTAAGTGCTCAGTGTCTCTGATGATGAAAACCTCTTGTGATTGGAAGTTGACTTGTTGGTTGCTTTTTTATTTTTATCACATCTCATGGGACAAGTTCAACGGATCCTATCACTTCGTTTATATGTGCGTAGGTGGCCATCCTACAGTGCTTCCTTTTCTCAGTCTAATGGGTGCACAAAAGAGCACCGCAATCTTAGTGTTTGTATACAACTATTATTTTTATGGTTTGATGGTCGTCAGCCGCTCTCAAGATTTTTAACGTTCTCGAAGTTGATGGAAATAACGCGTTGTTTTCTTTGCTGGCTTAAGGTAAGGAAACTTCATTTAAGTTGCGAATTCTCTCCACTTTTCCATATCTTTATCTAAAGACACTGAGCTCTTCCACAAACTAGTTTTCTATTCATTTTTCAGGAGAGACGGCGCATGGGTTGGCAGTGATATAAATGAATTTGAAGCTCAAAATTCAGATGTAGTTTCCTTTAATGCGATATCCATTTTTTTTACCTAGAACTCTTAGTGAGAC